ATTAACCCGTATCTGCTGAATAAATGACAGCACAGCCTTTTATTTAAATGTTATAAATAAAAACTACCATGAAAAGAATCAGCTCAAGATTTTCATGATATCACTAAGTTGTTGATTTTTGGACTGTGTTAACAATGAATAGGAAGGCATATAAATTATAACATTATTGCTAGGATATACCTGTCACGTAGTTCCATAAAATGCTATTGTAACCACTGTAATACTCTTTGTATGTAATAGCACATTTAATTTTCACTATGAAACTATGCTTTAGATACTCTTTTTATCCTTATTTTACAGATGAGGAAATTTAAGCTCAGAGAGGTAAGACATTTGACCAAGAACACAGCTAGTTAGTGGCAAAGCTGAGATTCAAACTCAAAGCAGTTGGCTCATGAATCCATGTTCTTAAAAGTATGCTAATTCTATGTCCATAAAATGGTCTTTCTTTAGTAATGTGAACAATAATAATACCTTGTATGTGAACAGCATTGTGCTTTTCAGTTTGCAAAACTACAAAACTACATTAAATTGGAAATCTAAATTAACATAATTTTAGTGTACTACATTCACCAGGTTAGAGATTCATTCACTTGATAATCTTAAGTTGGCAGAAGAGAAGTTTATATATTGGTAAAGTCAGTTATTATTGAGAGACTTTTACATGTTTTTAGATTATAATAATTTAGTTCCTTTTATTCTCCATAATTCAAATGTGTGACACTATAGGACAGGAGTCAGCAAGATTTTTCGTATATGTTGTTTTAGGTTTTGTGACCTACATATGGCCTCTCCCATATATTCTTTGTTTTTACAACCCTTAAAAAATGTAAAAATTATGCTTTCGCTCACAGATCTTACTACAAAGAGGCTGCATGGACCACTTTGCCCAACTCATATATACAACATAAATTTGGAGATTCAAGCAAGAAATACTGTACCCACAAAAGAATTAAAATACTGGGCACTGAGATTACACAGAATGTTAATACATTTCCATTTTTTAAAAACTGCGTTCTACTGCTGTTTCTTTTGGAAGGATTCTGGCTTTTTATCCAAGTGTGGTTGAAAAATTCTACATGATCAAAATCTCAGCAAGGCATTTTGTAGAAGAGCTTATTCTAAAATTTATATGGAGAGAAAGATGCCATAGAATAACTAAAATTATTTTTGCAAAGAAAAACTGTATCTTGAAAAGGAAGAAAAAAATGAGAGGAATCACTCTACCTGATATTAAGGCTTACAATATAACTATAGTAATCAAGACAATACAGTATTGGCAGAGGGACAGATAGAGCTCAATGGAACAGAACAGATAAATCCACACAAAGATACTCAATTGATTTTTTCCCTCAAATGTGCAAAAGCAATTTAATGGAGGAATAATAGTCTTTGCAACAAATGGTGCCATAGTAATTAGACATCCAAGGTGAAAAAAATAAACCTCAACCTAAACCTCACATTATATACAAAAATTAATTCAAATCGATTATGGAGTTAAATGTTAAGCATACTGCTCTAAACCTTAGGAAAGGAATAGGAAAAAGACTTCTGGTCTAGTCAAACAGTTCTAAGACCTGACACTAAAAGAATGACTCTTTTGCAGGGAAAATTAATAAATGGGACCTCATCAAAATTAAAAACTTCTGTTCTGTGAAAGAAACACACTGTTAAGAGGACAAAAGGACAAGTTACAGTTTGGGTGGGAGTATTTGCAAACCATGTATCTGACAAAGGACTAGTAGTTAGACTATAAAGAACTTTGAAAACTCAACAGTTAAAAAAATAACCCAACTACAAATTGGGCAAAAACCATCAGGAAATACCTCACTGAAGAGAATATACAGATTGCAAATAAGCAAATGAAAAGATGTTCATCATCAACTAATAAGAAAATGTAAATTGAGATGACAATCAGATACCCTCATTGTTGTTGAGTGCCTATCAGAATGCCTAACTTTAAAAAAAAAGTGATGACATCAAGTGCTGATAGGGATACAGAGAAATTGGATCACTAATGTTAATACATCGCTGGTGGAAATGTAAAATGGGACAGCCATTTTGAAAAACAGTTTGACAGTTTCTTATACAACTAGATATGCAAGTACCATATGACCCAGCTAATGCACACTTATCTAAGAGAAATAAAAACAGCGTTCACATAAAAAAATCTACACAAATGTCTATAGCACCTTTACTTGTAATTTACATAAAGTAGAAACAGCCCAGGTATCTTTCACTGGGCATGTGGCTAAACTCTGGTGCATCCATACCATGGAACACTACTCAGTAGTGAAAAGGAACAAAGTATTGATAAATGAAACAACTTGGATTGATCTCAAGTAAATTATACTGAGTGGAAAAACCAATACCAAAAAGTTACATAGTGTATGATTCTACTTATAGAGCATTGTTGCAGTGATAAAGCTATAGAAATGGAGAATAGGTCAGTAGCTGCCAGACAGTGCTGAGGGGGAGAATGTGGCCATGCAAGAGCAGCAGAAGCAGGAGGGATCTCCATGGTGATGAAAACTGTTCTGTATCTTCAGTGTTTCGATGTCAATATCCTGGTTGTCATTTCATACCATACTGTTGCAAGATAGCTTCTTTGGGGGAATAGGGTAGAGGGTACACATGATCTTCTGTATTATTTCTTAAAATTCATATGAATCTATAATAAGCTTAAAATAAAAAGTTTAATTATATAAAATGTAAGATGAATACTGGAGAAAGCCCAATAGTGACACCTCAGAGACTCTTAATTTTTAAAGAAATTCCAACTGTATTTGGATTCTGTCTTAGTTCATTTTGTGTTGCAATAACAGAATACCTAAGGTTGGGTATTTTTATAAAAAAAGAGGTTTATGTGGCTCATGATTCTGGTGACTGGAAAGTCCAAGAGCATGGTGGTGGTGTCTGCTTGGCTTCTGGTGAAGGCTTTTATGCTGCATAACACAGCAGAAGGTCAAAGGGGAAGCAGACACATGCAAAGGGGGACCAAACAGGAGGAGAAAACCCACTTTATAATAACCTGTTCTCACGGGAACCAATCCATTCTTATGAGAATGAGAACTCATTCATTACTATGAGAGGACATTAATCTACTTGTGAGGGGTCTGCCCTCAGCATCCAACACCTCCCACTAGGCCCCACTTTCCAACACTGCTATACTGGCAATTAAACTTCAATGTAGATTTTGGTGGGGACAAACCACATCCAAACCATAGCAGGCCCTAACTTACTTTTATGATCTGGCTCTTAGAGGCGAAGACATTTTTTATTTTAAAGGATATACAGGCTCACAAAAATCATAATTCTTGAATGGGTTGGTACTATGGCTTGAATGTTTTTCTTCCCCTAAATTCATGTTGAAATTTAATCCCCAAAGTAACAGTATTAAGAGGTGAAGCCTCTAGGAGATGATTGGGTCATGAAAGCTATGCCTTCATGTATGGATTAATCTGTTCATGGATACATGCACAGTGGACTGTCATGGAAGTGGGTTAGTTATCAAGAGAGTGGGTCTATTGTAATAGCTAGTTTGGTTCTCAGGGCACCCCTTATCATGTGACACCCTGCACTGTCCTCAGGACTCTGCAGAGTCCTCAGCAGATGTGGGCACCTTGACCTTGGACTTCTCAGGCTCCAGAACAGTAAGAAATACCTTTCTTTCTTTATATACCCAATCTGAGATATTCTGTTATAGCAACAGAAAATGGACTATGACAGATGGGCAAAAACTCTCAATGGAAGTGTTTGCTATCTTTCCTTTGATGTTTTCAATATTTAATATGGTTTATTTATCAATCAAATATTTCAAATTGTCCCATGTACCTCAGATGGCATAAGTTTATGTGTGATTGTAGGAAAAACAAAAGCAGTGTGCAAAGAAAGAGTAAATTTAGATAAGCATATTGTATATACCTATATTCTATGAATAAATTTGGAATGAGGCAAGACATTAATCAATGTATACATGCAACATCCCCAAGGAACTCTCTCAACTATTTACTCATTTGCAAAAGCAATGGGCCGTGAATTGCTTTAGGTTTATATGGGTTTTTATTCTTAGCAGAATTATACTGTTAGAGAAAACTTAATATAAGGTTTCACAAATTCCAATATTAATATATCTCCTCTTGTGGATTATTACTCTTTCAGGTTAAATATATAGAATTTTTTTTTTTTTACAGAAAACAGTGTTTTGGGCCTTTGGGTACTTTTCTTGTCCCCATGAAGATCTGATTTTGGTAAGATTATCTGTGCTATCTTAGGTGTCAAACTCTCATGATTGAATGGGGTAGTTAATCAAGAGGACCTGAGCAATCAAGGATCAATTCTAGAACATATATGCAAGGATCATGGAAAAAGAGAGCACAGTTGGTCTAATCTTCAGGAAGGCTGACTTTTCAGGCAGTACACACCTGCCTGCTATGTATGGTGGCATGATTCTGATTGGTTGGCACATATGCCTTATTAGGTCTTAGGAATTTTGAACATTATCCCTAGTTCTAAAGCCCTGATAGTCCAGATATTTTACTTTTGCCTTCTTCTTTACCTGTTAACCCTTTTGATCTTGTGTTATGGAATGACTGTGGAGGGCAATTTAGTGCAGAGATTTCCAGTTATCCCACTAATGTTTGAGTGGTTCTCAAATATTAGTGTGTGTCAGAATCACTTCGGAGGCTTGTTTAAATGCAGATTTCTGGGCCCCACCCCTAGTTTCTGATTCACCTGGTCTAGAATGGAGCCCAATAATTTGCATTTCTAACCACATTCCAGGTGATGCATAATGGTTTGCTAGGTAGCACAGAGGTGCTGGATATTGATCTCCTCAGCTGTGGCTGCTGCAGCACTTAGACTTGGTAACTTCAACTTGCTAACATGCTTGTCTGATTACCCCATTGTGACATACAAGTACTGTCACTTTCTATTTGTGTCATAATGTGAAAAGGCTGGTAAATGCTGATTCCATGGATTTCTGGATAAGGAGTAGGGAACAACAACAAAAAAAAGAACTTGCATTATTGAAAAATTAAAGGTAAAACTTCATTTTTTAATCATGGGTTAATATATTTACTATATAGAAGAGGGCAGAGGAATTGTGTGTATGAGGCAAATATATCTAGTTCTAAAAACTTAATTCTGATTACAGGAAACGACCAAAATAATATAGGGTTCATAATGAAGTTCAAGGTTCAGATGTGTATGTTGGGATGCCGGTGGGAGGGTGGTACAAAGAGGGTGGGAGGTACGCAAGGCAAGTTTCAAGGCGACAGCTTGAGTGTACATACCTGGATTCCAGCCCTCCTATATAATTTTATTTCCCTTCCTCCCACAACTAAGAGAATTATGGGATAATTATTCATATGTAGATTGATATGTTAGCATCTATTAAGGTTACAATTGGCATCAATATTATGAGAGTGGGACTGTGATAGGGTAGGTACACTGCAAAGAGTAAGTCATATAAATCCTTGAATTTCTAAGTAGAAAAACTGGCAGTTCCATGTTGTTGCATGTTGTATCATGTGATCCTTTTCCTGGTCATGCTCAACTGCAAAGACATCTACTGTCCCATCTCCTAATGGACCAAAAACAATCAAATAGAAAACCTTCTCTTGCATAGTGCCAATCCACAGAAAACATGGTGATAGGCATGATCCTACTTTGGCTGTCCATAGATGATAAATCCAGAGGCAAATAACTGACAAAATTCGTGCCCATTAGAATCCTTCCCAGGAATTTGCACATTAGAACAAAGAAGGAGTTAGAGCGGTAGTTGGACATTCACAAAGAACGCTTGTGGACTGTTGGAACCCATGCTGCCTTCTGTGTGAGGAAGTTGGTTGTCAATAAAAGAAAAAAAAAAAAAGAAAAAACAATTAACAGAAAGCAGCAGAGACTACAGTCTGAGCAAGTCTTGGCAATGATGGAGATCATTCTCCAGTTATCTCTGGGGAAAACCTCCTCCTTTACTTTCCATTGTATCCTTATAAATGTGGAGCTATTAGTGATTCCATGAATTGTTCTAGCTTGTCACTTCTCGAGACATGAGATTCTTTTTATTTGGGGGAGGGGATATCTATCTATCTATTAATCATCTATCTAATTTATCATCTATCAGGTCTCATATTAAAAACTGTACCAATTTGTTTGCTGCTTCTAAACATAACTTATATAGTAAAATTGGTTCCTCATTTATTATATATGACCTTATAAATATTTTCTATATTAATTTTGAAAGCTATTTTTCCCCACATCCTATCCATTTAGAGGAATATATTGTTTCTCAGTCACTAAGGTGTCTTTACCATCCTACATGAGACACAATGTAAATCAATATGCAAAACTCACTGCCTTCATTTAAATAATAACTTCTTTTTTATGAGATATATTCAGAATAAAATAAGTTAGGTAGCAATACTATGGAATTCCTTCCCATTCATAATTTTGTCTCATCTACTTGGAATAGTTTGTACTCAGTTGATGGTTAATTCTTAAGTTTCCTTTTTAGAGCCATGCATCATGGTGGACATGCTTTATTTTATCAAGAATCCTCTATGTGCTATATACACTCACACTTATGATTCTCTTTCTTAAGATTATATATAATTTAAATGAAATCATGCATTTTTTTCTCATGAAAGTCTTGGGTTGTTTTTGATCTTTTTAGAAAATTTCTTCTCTAGCTATCAGTTGTGTCAAAGATATATTCAAGCAGCACATTATTAGAGAAACTACTCAATGTCTTGCAAGCGATCTCTCATCTGGATGTCTTCATTGGATGACCCAGTACGGTGATATATTACTGGAATGTCAGATACCATAGCAAGCATTCTAAAGGTGGTACATAAATTGGTGCATTTTAAAAAATCACCAACATGTTTTTCTTCGAATTTCAGGTTGATTTAGGAGGTGAAAAGATGCTTTTGATATAGAAGTTTCAAAGACTTTCAGAGTCTTATCAGATCTGCAGGTATGCAGGAGAAATAACTCAGTAATGAATCAAAAACATTTTTGTCAAGACTCTAGTTTCAGTGTTATTTAAAAAGTCCAATTTCTTCTGAGATCTAATCTATAAATACCTATACAATTTTTAAATTTCCCTTAAACTGTCAATTTTTCTGAAGCTAAAACATACTCATAATTATCTTAACTTTCATAAATTGCTTCTGATTACAAAGGGAATATATACTATAATAATAAGTACATAAAAGTCCAAAGAAGAAGAAAATAATTGCTCTTTACACAAGAAATAAAAATTATTATCTTGATGTATTACTTTCAACCTTTTGTCTCTGAATGTTTTTCCCACTGTTGAAATCATGGTGTATATAAACATTTTATTTGTGACTTTTTCACTTAATATTTTAATACCAGCATATTCTCTGGTACAGTTTTATAAACCTTCTAGGGGCTCTACAGTTTCATATATTATGAATAAATCTAAATTTATATTACTATTTATTGGTGGCCATATATGTTGCTTCCAATATTTTTAGAAACATAAATAGCACTTTAATAAATATTTTGGCACAAAGAACTTTTCTTTCTTTTGGGTTATTTAATCTGTATAGATGCTCAGAAGTATTAACAACTGTATCAATGATTATAAGTATTTTCACTTATTATGCTGCAAAATTCCTTTCAATATTGCTCAAAAAGCCAGAAGAAAAGGTGGTTAATTTCAGTGTAATAAGGGCTCAGTATCATTAAGTAGACATAATTAACCAGGATAATTTGATAAAGAGAAATGGAGCCCAAGTTTCATAATATTATTTTAGAGTTACCATGAGGGGTTTTTCTCTTTACGTATCATTCACTTTCATTCTTTTTCTGAAATTCCAGTAAAAGAATACAAAATCAGGTATTTGTATTAGAGAGAAAGCACCCAATACAAAATCTACATGAAGGGTAGTATAATTTTCACCAATGCAGCATTGCTTAAAAAATATGTTTATAGCATTAGTTCCTTTGTTACCTACCTGTCCCAGTTTGAGCCAATCAGCCATCTCTAACAACCACCATGCAAAACTTATATACTGACTATAGAAATACTTGTTCAACAAGATAACATGGGAGAAAGGAAGAGTATGGTCTGTCCTTCTTTGATCAGAACAAGAACAGAACTCACAGTATGAGGTGAGGCAAGGAAGGGATTATTTATCATTTGATTAAATGTGCCATACCAGTAAAACTGAAGCTACTGAAACCATTTCCCATTTCACATGTATTCATCATACATCCTCTTAGAATTAGCCTATGGACTAATGTCATATATTATCTGATGATAGCCCAAAATTTCCTAAAGAAAATTCAGCAAGATTTAATAATCAACATAGGTTCTTTGAACAAGTATGGTAAGTGGTGGTTTGAATGCCTGAAGGGACACAATGTTAGCCTATTTATTTTTTGTACTAGTGTTATTACTCCCCTTCTACTCATTTTGATGTTCTGAAATTTAAAATCACTATTTGATTAGACACAAAAAAATTAGTATCAGTATATTTCATATACAGAGGACTTTGATTAGATTGCACATCATGTTCTTAACATATCCGAACAACTCTATTGGATGGCAACACTTTCTATTGTCATTGTATTTTTCAACAATTATTATTTTATTCTCATTTTATATTTAGGATAAGAGATGTTTAGGAAGGTGGTCTGCTTTGCTCAATGTCATTAATTTAGAAAGAGTAGATCTGGTTTAGCAAACCCATGTCTTACTGATTTTCGTTATTGGTCTTTTCAATTCACTAACCTCGTGACTGATTCTTGGCTCTCAGCTATTGACTTCTTAAAAATTTTAGTAAGTTGAAATTTTGAGAAATGCTAAATACATATGGGTAGAGGAGTTGGCAAAAATAAATGAAGAAAATGCAGATCTACGGAAAAAATATGGGTTGATGCCAGGACTTTGTAGTATATTATATTTCTTTTTTACAGTGAGCATCTTTTCAGATTGATAATTGATTATGGCGTCTTTTGATTCTAACTTCTTGGTGGCTATTACTTTTTTCCTAATATTTTGAGGAAGCCAGAGAAAGGAGATGCAGAAGTCCAGCTGTTGGCTTAATTAAGAGAATAAAACATGTATTGTTTTTGTTTTCTGAATTTACCTTTTTTCTACCAGTACTGAAATAAATTTTAAAAATTAAAAAGACAATGTGGTACATGGTATCTGCCAATATAATACTACCTGAACAATACAATGATCTCAGGATTTATATTCCTGAGATTATAGTTATACACATTAAACACATTCATTTATTCTGTTAGATTTTGTTGTATTGATCTCTCTGCCTGGCTGATACTAATTGCCATCCTCATCAACAACTTCAATGGCAAACCCAGAGCTCATCGAGCACACAGATTGAACCCATCTCCTGGGCAGAGTACATATTGCCAATTACTAATCAGTACCTGTGGATTCCTAAGGAGCTTCTGTCTCCAAGGTTGGTAGTCCATGAACTTTCAGAAACACTAAAACTTATTCAGTTAAAAGACAAAACAGAATAAGAGAAGGAGAAGGAAGTCTGAAAGGTCAATTAACTTATCAGTTTAATCACAGATACTGAGAACAAATGCTAAATTTGTCATTTCTATATTTCAGAAAAAATATAGCAGCCAAAAAAGTATGCTAGATTACTTAGGTCATAGTTTCAAATGAAAGAGTTATATTTTTCAAACAAAAATGTCCCTTCTTACGGATGCCAATGCTGCCTAGCATTCTGTTATCATTTGGTATATCACTTTGTGACTTTATTACTGCCACTGGGCAGCCACATTTTATTTCAGAGCAGTAACTCAGTCATGTTAATAACTCGAGAATCAGGTGTGATGGTTTAATGAGCTAATAATCCTTTAATGAAGACTCAGTAATAGTATTTCACGGCCCTATGGAATTGCTCCCCATTGCCCATTGATATGCTGTGTTTTAAAAGTTGTACTAACACCACAGTGCATTAATAGATCTTTGAAAAAAAAGATTTTATGAGATTTTTTTTTATTTTGTTTCATAACAATCTCCTGTTGATTGCCTATAAGTTCCTAAGAGAATTGAACTTTGGATTAATTTAAAAAATTTGCATCATGTTTTCCTGGTTGTTGGTTCCTAGCATTCTGTAGATTAGTACAGAAATAGTTTTACTGTTCTTAAGCATTAAGCACAAAAGAGGGATGCCTTCCAGGGGAAAGAAAACATATCTATTTAAATGGAAGTAGTTTGTTAAACCACTCTGTAAAATTTGCTGTTATAATGGAAATATCTAAAGGATAAAGCTATGTATAACAAAGAATATCATGTACTTACAAAAGCCCTAGTTGGAAATTTGTCATGTAAGCATAATTTTTCCAGTTTTCTCTTGTTTTCTAAATACCATTATATTTTTTTAAAAAAAATATCAAATCATTTCTCAAGTGTGCTTTGGTGATAACTGCTGGAATATAAATGATGCAAACTTCTTTTATATTTCAGAAAAATTTCATGGATTTCTGAACCATTAACCAGGTATTTAGTCATATTTTCTTAGATCTTATAACCTTTCCTAGTAAAACTCAAAGTTGGCTGCCCTTTTAGAATTTCTAACAGTAAAATCAAGTTGGCAATTGCTCTACCTTTCCATATTCAGACACTTTATTCTTGGCACTCTTCACATATTATTTGGATCCTTAAAAATTTGGGGTTCCTTCAATCGCAAATGAAATGGAATCTTTTAGGAAATTTCAAAATACAGCAGATATCTTCAACAATAGTCTAGATCAAACAGAAGAAAAAATTTCAGAGCTTGAAGACAGGCTTTGAAATTAACCCAGTCAAAGATGCAGAAAAAAATAAAGAAGAATGAACAATCACTCAGAGAAGCATTGGAATATGCAAAGCAGGATAATATACAAATCACAGGCATTCCTGAGCGAGAAGAAAAAGCAAAAAGCATAGAAAACCTATTCAAGGGGATCGTTGAGGAAAATTTCCCTGGTATTGCCAGAGATTCAGATATTCAGATACAAGATGGGCACTGAACACTGGGAGGTTCATAGGAAATAGGACATCTCCAAAACACATAGTTATCAACCTGGCTAAAGTCAAAATGAAGGAGAAAATTCTACAAGCTGCAATATGAAAGCAACAAGTAATCTACAAAGGAAAATCTATCAGGCTAAGAGCAGACTTCTCAGTAGAGACCTTACAGAAGGGATTGGGGTCCATTTTTAGTCTTCTTAAGCAAAACAACTGCCAGCCAATGATTCTGTACCCTGCAATACTAAATTTCATAAACAATGGAGAAAGAAAGCCCTTTCCAGATAAGCAAATACTAAGGGAAGTTGTCACTACTAGACCTGTCCTACAGGAAATACTCAAAACTTCTTTATACATGGAACAGCACAATAGATACCCACGAGTGTAAAAATACCTGAAAGTTAAAGCTCATAGCTCTAAGAAAACAATAGTACAAGAGTGGAATTGTATTAGTGCCCATCCCAATGACCTCATTTAACCTTAATTGCTTCTTTAAATACTATTTCCAAATGTATTCACATGCTGAGATACTAGAGGGTAAGCTTTCAACACATGAATTTTGGGGAGACACAATTAAGCCCACAACAGCTAACAATCAACTGGCCTGATTAACCTCTCTCTAAAGATGGTTTTCTCTTTAGTTTCCTATCCATCCCCCAATCTTTCTCATGGATGCCCAGGGGAAACCTGTAAAAAAGAGCTTGTGAGCATGAACTTGTCTCGTGTGTGGGGCCTCCCACTATTCCAGACGGAGACACTAGTATACACTCATCCTTCAATGATTTGTTAAAGTTTTGCTGATTTCTTCTTATCCATGTTTATGGTGGGTAGTTCTTTTCCTCATAATCTGCCACAGTTGGGACGTGTTCTTTGAAAATCCTTGATCCTCTGAAATTCAATTATGTTGCCTTGTGACCTCAGCTCTCTAATGGTCTCTTGAATACTCAGGATCTTGTATTTTATCTGGATTTTCCTCAATATTTGATTGCAGTGACCTTCTTTGCAAGGTTTTTACACACTACTTGGAAGCAAAACTACTGTTCTTTGTACACAAAAGTTAAGCATTTGTCTGACTTCATCTCTGAGACTCTGTTTATAGTACTTCAACAAAATCTAGTCTGTTTATAAACAATAATTCATAGCACAGATAGCTTCCGGAATGCTTCTGTTTTTGTTCGTCCCCTTAGCACTTTGAGGATGGAGATTTCTATCTCCACAGTTGCTCCACATCTCTGCTCATTCCATACTACACCTGGCTCTACTGAATAAAGAAAACGAAGTATCTGAGTGGACATAGAGAAAACAGTAGAAGAAAAAGCATGAGCAGTAAGGGAGAGTACATGATTTTGTCTCTATGGAAAGCAGCCACTGTGCTGTATGGAATGGCTGTGAAGTTCCTTCATATCGTGGCTCTTACCTGCATCTCCAGCCTAATTTTCTGCCATTCCTGTCTATAAATGCTAGATCATAGCCATACTAAACTGCTTATCATTTCCCAAACATACTTCAATTTATCTGAAAATTCTTATTTGTCTTTCTGGAATGCCTTCCTATCTGTGCATTCCAATTTCTACTTGGCTAATTCCTACTGAGAATTCAAATGCCATCTTGTCTGTGTAATGTTTCTCGAATCTCTTACACAGATACAGTTACTCCCTCTCATACAAAGAGGAAATTATTTCCTCTTCTATGTTTTCCTAGGGGTCTGTTTGTACCTGTGTTGCACTCAGTATATTGTATTGCATTCAGTGGATTATCTGCCCCAAATCTTATGAAGATGAGAGCCTGCAAAACCTGCAAAGGGAAGGCTGATAGCCAGTACAGATCCAGACATATGGCCCTACCTGCTAATTTATTAGTGACCAAATAATGTCTCCTTTTTGAATTGCTTGAAGTCTATCAGGTGATTATTCCCCACTTACAATGATCAGGACTTTGAAGTCCATATTTTCCTAAGGGGAAGAAAAATCTGAGAGTCACAGGTTATGGTATACAAACATACAAGATCTTTTTCCAGGTTTTCCCAAGAATCCTCAGCTAATCTTAACTTCAGAGAACAGGGTTGGGAGCTAAGGGCAGCAAGAAAGGACAAACTAGTGGATATTTAGCAAATTCCTTTTCTTAATCCAAAGACACTGGCCTTAGGACGTATGTGTGTAACTCCAGACTTTGATACAGAATACCATGCCTGTTTTTGTGTTCTACGATAAGTTACTTTCTAGTTTGCAAAGATTTGCCACTAATTCTGCAGCAAATGAACTATGTGACCATTACACTTTGAAAAAAAACTCTTATATGATTGGTGGAAAGGTGTAGTACTTTCTGGTCATTCATATCTCCGTAAGATCTAGTTCCACCATAAGGTTTCTCTTTTCTGAATCAGCTAATCAACTTTCCTTTTTTACAAGGAAATGGAAACGTGGCTTGTTGTGTTTTACTTTATATCCTTTCAAACAATAGATCTGAAAGTGGTTGTGACTGAAGAACCGCAGTACCAAGAGGGAGCTAGCTGTGCTATAAAGTGTGGCTATTCTATTCATTTCCCAGATCATGTTTGAGGTTGGTTGGTTGATTGATTCATTCATCCATTCATTCAGAGATGGGGTCTCACTGTGTTGCCCAGACTGATCTATGACTCTTGGACTTTAGCAATCCTCCTGCCTCAGCCTCTCAAATAGCTGGTACTACAGGTGTGCACCATTGCACTTGGCTCACGTTTGAAGTTTTGTGATTTACTGGGAGTAAATTTTCTTCCTACCAACAACAAGAGTGATTAACTATACCTTGAAGAATACTGCCTAAATGTTAAATTTAGTTTGCTTACTCTGGAAATAAAAAGTACTTATTTCTATGGATTAAAATATTCAACTTTAATGTTCTGTTCACTTGGTTGCAATATGTTTTACACTTCCATGCACAGCATGTGCTGGGCTCAATACAGTGGGAGGAAACAGGATTCAGGAAATGTTACTGCTGATTATATTCCTTTTTGCTTCCTTTTATTAGAGTTATTAATTCACGTGAAATTGTGAGCCAAGTGCAGAAAGCATTGTTGCTGCCCTCATCTCCTATTTTAGATGGAGAAACAATTTCTATATACAGTCATAGAAAAATTATCCTTAAATGTTTCTATAAAAGTTTCAGTTATTTCTTTATGAGTTTCCTGTGTCAAATGAAAACTGCATAAACAGGGGAAATATATGAAATCCTCAAAGAAATAATGAAGAATGATTGGATCACTTGAAATTGCTTGGCACAGGATATATCAAAATAACTAAGTACATTCAGTAATACGGAGGCTTCTTGAAAAATTAGAAGTTACAAGGCAGAATGATGAGCAGTATATTCCAAAGAAAATGACCTGACCATTTCTGGCCCACATTCTCTTTCTTCCTACCTCCTCACAAACAGCCCAATCAGGCAACAAGAACAAAATGGAGATGAACAATGCTTTGTCTTCCGCAGAAATTGATTCACTTACTCATTCATTCTTTTTTTTTTTTTTTTTTTTGAGACAGAGTCTCACTTTGTTGCCCAGGCTAGAGTGAGTGCCGTGGCGTCAGCCTAGCTCACAGCAACCTCAAACTCCTGGGCTCGAGCGATCCTTCTGCCTCAGCCTCCCGGGTAGCTGGGACTACAGGCATGCACCACCATGCCCGGCTAATTTTTTATATATATATCAGTTGGCCAATTAATTTCTTTGTATTTATAGTAGAGACGGGGTCTCACTCTTGCTCAGGCTGGTTTTGAACTCCTGACCTTGAGCAATCCGCCCGCCTCGGCCTCCCAAGAGCTAGGATTACAGGCGTGAGCCACAGCGCCCGGCCTCATTCATTCTTTTTATCCCTAGGATGATGGAAGTTAAAGACCAAATCCTTTTAGAAAGTAGAAAGTAAGTGATATGTGTGCACATGTGACTCTGTGTGTGTGTTCATGTGTGTTCACTAATGAAGCAGTGCTTCTTAGACATGGTCCCCTTACTTCAGGTTTGCTAGAATTTGAAACCCATCTAAATACTTTAAATGGGTAAGGAGGTTCCTGCAGTGACATACAAATTTCTTTCTCTTCCACGTGCCCCCTGGTTTGTAAATATTGACCTAGTCCTTAGACTACTTCTAAAGTGCATGTGCTTAACACTAGAGAAAAGGTTCAGTGATGACCAGAGAAGTCATACTGTTTCATTTTGCCTCTTTACAATGGCTTCCTGGCAACAAGTTCATCCTTGCGATAAAATAGGATAAAATAGCTTTTTTTTTTTTTTTTGCTTTTGTCTATAGCACCCAGTTTTTTTTGCTGCTTACATTACTCTTAGTATATGTCATGCTTTCTGCCATTGTCTGAATTCCTGAGGTCCCTTAACCACCACCACCATCTTTGAAAAGCCTGTCTACCAGATTTCTCTTTTGTTCTGTTCCACTCAACCACTTATTTTTCAGATTGGAGAAACTTGATCTTTAGAACATACTCCAGGAAGTCCTTGGAATCTATAT